CCAGGGACAAAACTAGCTTGAGTAGGGCCGACCCTTTATCAAAGGTTTCAATCGATTAGAAATAAGCTTCGTCACCACTTTGTACACAAGATTACATAATCCAATTGGACGGAATTGCGATAGTCTCGGGCTTTTGTCCAAGGAGTGACTTTGTTGAGCTCTTATTTTGTCCAAATTTTTGCTTTGTTATTCCCATCATCCAGTAACCACGGGATGATCCATAAGAAAGGTGGCAGTTCGAAACTATGGCCAGCCCGCCCCTGACCTGCTGGGTTGGGTGGTCGGGTTAGCACCCTTTGTCGCCTCTGTACCTAAACAGATGCGTTGCGCTACCCAGCATGTAACCTTGTCCGCCCTACTCCTCTTCTGGTTGTGCCATTACCAATCGCGGAGGAAGTGGTGTTGAGCTGCATCGTATCAGCTATCGACAGCAACAATCAATTTCCTTTCAGACCGACAACTAGCCGATTCGATAGACCCTCGTCTAACCCAATTGGGATGGGACTTTTCTCAGTCACCTCCACATTCTTCATCTACATGACCAGACCAAAATCTCCTCTTTTGGGGCTCAATGCAATGTATAAAACTCTTTCCCATCAGAACTCCTCCTTCTTTAATTTTGTGAAAAATAATTTTCTCATAATGCAAAATTGCCAAATGATGAACAGCAGATATACTGCAATAAGCTCCTAATAAACATGTAAATGTAAAATTTCAATAAAGGCGACAAACTTATATAATTCCTTGGCAAAATTATAAAAATGTTTCACATTGAACTGAAATAGTGAAGAAACAACGAGGCACCTAATGGCATAACATACCTCGTGAATAACTAGAAGTTCCGCACCCCTTTGACAATGTCATGCCCATTCAAGGCACCTAATAGCACAACATACCTTGTGAATGACAAGAAGTTTCGCAACCCTTTGACAATGTCATGCCCATTTCTGATTCCGACCTCAATGACAAAAATAACATTGAATATACACGATTTTCTGTAACGTTATTTTTCCCTGAATTGTCTAAAACTCCCACGTATTTGGAGTTTAGGGCACAACTGCCAGTTCAATTCTGCAGCAGTCTTGTGTGATGCTTTTCACACTCCGTTTTTAGCTTCTCAACAAGTTACAGAGCATATACAACCAGGAAAGATGGTTTTAGAAAATTTATCCAATAACAGGTCAAACTTAAAATATGGGTATAAGTAAGAAGTTAGTCCATGATAATAGATTTAGGATGGAAACTTGAAATACAGGGACAAAAGGAGAATCTTCAAAACTAGTAAAATGTGACGCGCAGGAGAAAAGTAAGCAAAACTTGCATTCAAGAGGTAAAACGCGTAAAAACTTATGGAACACAGGATAAAAACTTTGGTATATAGGCAGCGAAAACATTAGAAATGGGGCAAGAATAAAGTGAATCTCGATTTGAAAATAAGGTCATACAAGTTAAATGTGTAGGGTACAGGATTATATTAGATAGAATTACTTTAGAAGAAGAAAAGTAGAGATCTAAACCCAAGTCCAGAGTCTTAAAAATGAAAACTAAAGAGTTCTGTTTCATAACAATGAGATCAAAGAAAGATGGAGGAATTATTTCAACTAAAACATTTAATAGTAGGCATAGATTTTGGGGATTCGTTGAACTCCACTGTACATAAGAATGTTAACTAAAAAAATTCTGGTGTGAGAGGTGAGGGAGGCTATGAAGAAGATGAGCAAAGAAATTGGTCATGATGGAAATACCATCCAAGTATAGAAGAGTTCAAGTAAAGTGGATATTTTATGGTTGACAAATTTATTAGATGAGGTCTTAAAGAGTAACAGATGCCAAATAAATAGAATTAAGCCCCTGTTTGGGCCACATTATTTTTTTCATTCTCATTCTTCTACTCATTTTCAACCACATATTTTTCAATAAAATAATCTTTTCCATCATATCAATAACTTTTCTTTCTTTTTNTCTTTACAATTAAGCCACCGTTTGTCACACATCAAAATTTTCATTTTCATTCTTTTACTCATTTTCAACCACACATTCTTCAATAAAATAATATTTTCCATCACATCAATAACTTTTCTTTTTTTTTTTCAACCACACATTCTCCATCACATCACTTCAAAAAAAATGCATTCTCTCATTTTAATGTGTACCAAACGGGCTCTAAGTGTATTATGGTGTCTATCTATAAAACTAACGAAGAAATTCAAAACCAAATTACAGAGGTATAAGCTCACCAGTCATAGCAGGAAATTAAAGGGAGATGGTAATTGAGCATAAAGTAAGGTATAATTTATAGGGGGGGTTAATAAGCTGAGTTTTGTGTTACAAGGATCTAAATGAAGTCATTTAGAGATTGATTCAGAGGTATATAAAAAATAAACATGATGTGCACATGCCTTTAATCGATTTAGAAAAAATCTACACCTGGTGCTTACAGAAATTCCATGGCTGGTTCTAGACTCTAGAGAAAGATGAAATTTTTATATCAAATATGCATAATAACTAATAAGTCATGACGAAAATGTAGTGGCACTAATAGTAGAGAATTTCCTGTAAGCTATCAATCAGGACTCTACTTTAAATACTTATTCCTTTTGTTTTAATCATGGATCATAACAAAGTATTAGCGATAAGGTTAGGATGGGGTCAAATAATAAATTAGAACTTTGGAAGAATACTTTGGAATTTAAAGGTTCTAGGCTAAGTAGAATTACAATGGAGTCCATGGAATAGTAGGAATGCGAAAGGTCTTGCTCAAACCAAAGAGCGATTCTTATAGGTATTATTTAACTTCGATTATTAACAAAGAAAGGGGAATTTGAAAAGGACGTAATACATAATGAAATGGAGAAGTGCTACACAAGATCAGATATGATACGAAGATCCAAAAAGTAGAGGATAAAATGATGAAAATGATTATTGTATTGAATATTGGACCAGTAAAGGATATAATGTCCTGTACATAGTGGAAATAAGGATGTTAAGATAGGGTAGTGATAAGATTAGAAATGATAATATAAGGGGAGACAGCACTGATTGAGGGGCATATCTTGTTAAGACCTACAGAGGCTTACATTCATAAGTGTGATGTGATCCCAGCAAAACAAAATAGAAGAGAAAGAAGTAAAGAAAAATTAACATGGTCTATTGTAGTTGCAATGATTCTAACTTTATATTTCAATAGATATAGCATTTGATTGAAAATAGCAGCAAAAGAAGATACATGCAGTTCACCTCAAATTTATTGGGATTATACTTTGTTATTGATAATCCCATTGCTGGTTTGTTCATAGACCACCAACAAGCTATATACGATTGCAACATATGGCACAACATGGAATCCTATTTGGCCACAACAAATAACTATAGTTCTGAATGTACAGTAAACAAGAGGATTCACTTTTAGGCACTTATCAACATTAATACCTCTTAAAAATTCATATTATAAAGCAAACAGTTGAACTGGTGTGAAGTAAAATCACGTGTATCATATATTAAATGGCAGAATCATTAATAATACAAACAGAGTGCAGCTAGGCACCAATCAACACCACAGCCCCATAAAATGCATATAAATACAAACTAATTGAAATGGTCACAAGTAAAATCACTTGATATCCAAAGCATCTTTAAAAAAAAAAAAAAAAATACAAGGTCACAATTAGGCCCCAGTTGAGACCTCTAAGAAGTACATATAAATAGGAATCCATTAAATGCTCTGAAGTAAATTCACTGGTATAATATTCTCAAATTAAAGCATAGCTTAGTGAACAATTTTACACGGGTTACAGGTTGATCAACTTTTTGAAACAGTAAGTACCAAGGAAAAACCAGCCAACAAGTACAAATAAGAAGATTGCCAAGTAAGTAAGGAACGCCCATCCTCCAATTGTAAGTCCTAAGCCAAGTACTATGATAAATGGTAAATAAGTTCGCACAATAGCTGCTTTACTAACCCATTGTCCCTTGAGAAAAATCAAAACAGCCAAGTTTACCACATTCCACCCGCCAGCCTGAAACTTCAACCTGTTCAAACCATTGGCTACGAATGAATGGCAGTTGCAAGTGAAAATGTTGTAGGAATGGTGTTGGTATTCCTGTGTGCTTTTACGTAATGCATCATCCCATGTCACAATATCTCTTCCAAGGTCGGTTTCATCATTGCTATCATGTACAACAGAATTGGCAATAGTGCAGCACTGTAGGCCAGGATTAGAAAAATAAATAAATTAGGGATGATAGTAAAAGATTGACAATGATAAATTCAAATAAATATGAAAACCACTCTTGTGCAATCAATGAAACGGTTGTTGTTGTTGTTGTTCTTCTTCTTCTTCTTCGTAATCGCGTTACAGTATTCAACTATACCTTCTCTTTACTTATTTGAAAAAAGCGGGTCGGTGATCCAAATGCAAAATTGTCAACACATACAAAATTCGGCCCAGCAAAATCCAATATAACTCCGTCCTCCCTACATATCCCAATGTGGCCAATACAAGGAAGAAACCATGATAACACAGGAAGGGGTGTCCACACAATGCAGTATGGAAACCGGCTTCTTCTCGGATCAATTTGCATAAGATGTGCATCGCTCTCTCCAATCATCAGATTGTGCTCTGGTTCTCCATTTGTTCCCATTGCAAAAAGCTACATTTTGACAAATAGGAAATGGGATCAGCATTTATTTTTGGAGGAAGGATACTAATTGTGTACAACATTATCACGGACTATACATTATTTAGCTTTTTGGCAGATTTGAAGCTCTGTTTGGAATTTTTCAATCCTCATAGCTGGTCTAGTTTATTTGAACAGCAGAAAGTAAACTTAAAATCTTCATTTGATAATTCATTGACACAATGGCAGTAACGATATCAGCATAACCATCTCAGTATATACAAAATCCCATCAGATGATCCTAGAACCCACACTTGTAGAAGACCGTCAGGAACAAAATTAAGAAGTTCAAATGAGTAATAGCTTAAACTTCGTACGGACAAATTGTTAAACCAATAAAACCCCTCTTTGAATGAAAATTATAGCTGAATTGCATCAGAAGATCTGAGTATCATTGAACAATTAAACACTCTAGTTTTAGCTCAAACTAAAACAGCGTTAAATATTGATTTTAACAGAAATAAGTCTCGTGATTTGGGGATTTTCACAGGTCGCGGATTTGGGTGAAAGAGAGAAAGTACGCACCTTTAAACTTGGGCAACTATGAAGANACAGGTCGCGGATTGGGGTGAAAGAGAGAAAGTACGCACCTTTAAACTTGGGCAGCTATGAAGAACTTTAAGCTTGGGCAACTATGAAGAACGGTCCGATGTGCTGAAACAGGTTGGATCCGCTGAAACGTTGAAGCCGATGAAATTGAAAACCGTTTATGCGCTAATTTGCCATTCAATATTGGATCAGGGAAAAATTCATATTGGTTTACACTGATTCAAAAGTAAGCTACATAGATTAACAATTCAAAACAGGTAATTAATAAAAAATAGGGGTGTGTACCCAATCGAGCCGAACCGAATCGGATCG